CCAGCTGTAGACAGTTAGTACACTGCCCCCCTTACACTTATTTACTTACCATGCTGTGCATTTACATTTCAAAATAATACAAATCATTTTTAATTTTTTTTTCTAGGTATGTCTATTGCTTTATTAATAACGGCGTCTGGAGTGGAGCGCTGTACACCTGCCCTGGTGCCACATATTTTAACGAAAGTTCGCGTCTCTGCACAGCCGTCATACCAACACGTTGCGTCGGTACCACCCGGGTGTTGTCACTCAGGAATATGGATGTAGATTTCGATTGAAGTGGGTTCCAGCTAGATTGTCTTAAGTTTTCGAAAGTATTTATGTAGGTATGTAGTTACAAGTTTGCAAATATTTCTAAGCAAAAAATAACTGAAATAGAAAAATAATAAATAGATTTACGAAGTTGGATTTGTTAAATAAATATGAATGTATGCAATTCATAAGTGTTATCAATTGCTGGCGATGTTTGGTTTCTTCGCTGGGTACGATGTATTTCGGAACGGATTGCGTCTGCCTTGTCAAGTTTTGGTTTGAAGACAAACCGGTTTCGGTGTTGCGCCATCGTCATTCTCAAGCAACGGAATTTTTTTTTTTTATGAATCAAACTAGATAAGCGCTCGAAGCAGCCATATGAAGTATACATACAGCATTCGCTTGAATAGCCACATTACCTTCCTTCAGGAATCGGGCTTATATCTCGCAGTAACTTAATTCTCATTCTCATTTTGAAGACAGTTCGATTCTCAATAAAAGTTCTAAAACCGTCGTTACTAGGTGTTTTTTTTAATACAAAGGGTATGCCTTAAAATTTGAAGGCCTTGAATGGGCGCAGTGAGGGAAGCATCCAACGGAACGCCTTAAAGAGCATTTAATTGACATTTTCAGTATCACAGAGCAAGAAAAAACCAAGCAGGCGCACTATAAACTACGCGAAAATACCAAGTCTACACGGAAATGGTAGAAGGTCCGTTGCGAGGTGAAACCGAACAAAATTGATAGAAAAAAAAGTGGTGTTCATGGCATCACAATGTTGGTAACGAATGTCTCGTGCTTAGAAAATTCCCAAAAAATAAATGCACAACGTTAAGAGCCATGACCAGATTTTGTACGCCTGACTATAAAGCTTTCACAGCTTTCTTCAGGGAAAAGCTTTGCCATTAATGACTCCAATGCATTCAATGCTTTTATTTGCGAGTTTTTAAAGGATGAATGTTGTTTGACTTAACTTTATGATTGAGAAAGTATTACGGCACTCTAAAGTGCAATTTCAAATGCTCCAAAAATTCAAGCGAAATGTTTGCACAACGCACCCCAGAAGGTGGAAAACGAAAATAACAAAGCAAAATCTTAATTTTTGCAGGAGTCAACTTATTTATTGGGAATAAAAACGGCGAGGTGCGAGATTGCCTTAAAAAACAGTATTCTGGATAGGGGTTTCCCCATTCGATTCATATTAAGGAGGTAGTACCTAATAGTTATAGTACTCAATATGTTATAGTATCTATACCTTTAAGTTGTTCAAAGAATCCTCTGATTTTTAGTTCTTATAATCTTTTCATATTAGGTTTGTTCCACAAGCTACTCGAAGTCACATCGAGGTACACATACGCGTTCCACAAGTAAGTTTTAGAGTTTATTTGATATACGCTGACAGTTTGAACTTTGCTCGAGTTTTTCGACAAGTAGCTTGTGGAACAAACCTATTGTTTGTATAGTATATTCCTCAGATTGTTGTAAAAATTCAAGATATCACATCATTACTTGCAGTTTAAAGAAGAACAAAAAAAAATACCACTTATTTAGTTTAAAAAACCAAACTATAAAGTGCAATTTTTGAAAACTGTATCCAATTTATGATGATTTCTATTTAAAGTCTAAATTTCTTAATTTGCCTACAGCAAAGTTTTAGGGAGCAACCTTTACAAAAGCAAAATTGTAAACAGTCTTTTGTTTCCTTTCTTTCTTTTCAAAAGGTAACTAGTTCACTTATTAGAAATAAAAAAACAGCAGCACAAAATATGGTGACATAATAAGCTCACGAGATATAATAGCTTTATTTTTTAATAACTGTATTTTTGCCTAACCTAGCTAAAATTTCCTAGGCTTATGTAAAGGTTAAATTTAAGACATACATCTTTACTTGCACGTAGCTTTAGTCTCCATACCAACTTATGGCCTTTTACAAAAACAAAATTTACCTTTCTTATGTTTTACTATAGTATTATCTAAAACATAGCAACAAGAAAATGTTATTTTTGGCAAAAAAAAACAGGCATTTAGACCGCAGTGCAATGGGTTATACATACATATGTATGTATGTATTTCGCTTACAGTTGCTCATATGTGTACTCTATAAACGAGGACTCTGTTTTCCTCCTTTACCGAAAAATAACCTCATTTCTTCATTGTAATAATTTAAATCTGCTGCGACTCAAAAAAGTACGAAACATTCGAGTTTTAAGAACCAATGAATTTAAAGCGTCTAAGTGAGAATCACTCAACTTTTGGAATGGTCGGCGGTCGACGGGAATTAATCGGTTATAAGTATCTACGCAATCCTTCTGCTAGAACATCAAGGAAGAAACGGCTGCAATATCGTGTATGTGATGAGCTTAAAAAAGACCTTCAAATATATTTATTTTTTTATACATTTGTAGTATGTGTGTAAATATGTGTATTTTCAGGGAGAACAAAATGTTTTATATGCAAATGTTGTGGTGACTTGTGACGTATGACCAGCGATAGTTGGTTGTTGTTATTGTGCAAATTAAATAATATTTATTAGATATTAAATATTTGACTTTCATATAAAACAGTTAGTTTATAGACGTGGATTACGTTGCAACTGCATTAAATGCACCGATAAGAAAGCCGAGAGCTAGTAGCGAATAGTTTAAATCGAGGCAATAATTGTTTTGCATTTTTAGTTGCAAATGAAGCTCAATGTTATTCGAACGCAAGAACTTGTATATGTACTTAGATAATAAAAGCCGAGCATTCTTCAAACTATAATACTAAAGGAATAAGTTATTATAAAATTCCATTATGTCCGCATTAATTACGTGGCAGGTAAGCGCAAATTTTGGTTCCCACCTGCACCTGCTGCCTCACCTGTAGCCCATTAATACCTACTTACATACGTTTGATCTAGTTTTTGTTGAGCGTGTTCCTACTCGCTGTCAATTGCCCAATTTCGACTTTCGCGGCCTGTAATGTGTGTTCTACCACCAATAACCTGGCGTGCGTTTCCAATACCCAGTTCAAACAGTGCGACCTGCAAGGCATACCAAGTGGAGAGGCGACAAGTTGTCTGACAGGTTTTGTTTGTTCCACAGCAACCGCCGCAATTTGTCAGCCCAGTGATGGTATAGGCATCGTGCCTGCCTGTTCCGAATGTAACACCTGCGATGCTACCAATACGTTTGCCTGCACTGGCGTTCGCACCTACGCTTTGTGTCGGGGCACAACAACAGTTACTGATTCGGGTGGCTCATGCAAGGAATACGAGGTTTGCAATCGTGGAAATGCGGCCATCTGCGCCAATGCAACGGCGACGGTAAGTGCAATGAGATGTCGGGAGAGTTTTGAAATATTTTAAAGTAGATCTAAATATATATATTTTTTTTTATTTAAACAGCTTGTACAATTGCTTTTAAGAATTTTCAATGTTTCAGAATCAACCTTCTTGCCCCACTGTGGTGGAACCAACTACGCCAGTAACAAACTCGGTTGAATACTGTAAATCGGTTCAACAAAGAGGTCGCTTTCCGGTTGGCGATGATCTCACAACCACCTGTAGACAGTTAGTACATTGCTTTCATATTAACTCTGTTCTATAACACTGGGCGACAAAAACAAAAAAGTTTCGAAACACGCGAAGTAATCGATATATTCACGAAACTAAAGCTCAAATATAGTAAAACTAAGTTTTTAGTTTTTCTCTCTGACGTCAGGATTTATATAAAAAAAAAATTTACCCTGAAAATATGATTACTTAAAAAATATTATTAAAAAAATTCAGTGCAATGTAGAGTAACAATATGCATACCAAATACAAGGGAAAACTCCGTAGCAACATCATTTTTTATGGGATATAACGACACTTTTCGTTTTGTGCTGTTGTTGAGCAATAGCAGTTGAGTTATTTACGTTTAACTACCTAGTAGTTGTTACTTATTTCGTACTTTTTCAGTCTCCAATTCTTACTAAATCTTAAAAAAAGTCTTGATTTGAAAGCTTACAAATAATCTTCTCTGCAGAATGACTGCAAATAATTCAGAACAACTACGTTCCAAGACATATTATTGCTAAATTACGAAACACAAAATCTTTAATTGGCTTTAGTGAGAAATTTTGAGTTGTGTCGTTATTGCACAGAGTACCATCCATATATGTACTTGCCTTAACAAATCATCTTAATTCTTAATTATTTTCAAGATACGTCGAGTGCTCTTCAATCAACAGCGTCTGGAGTGGAATGATTTACTGGTGTCCTGGTCGCACATATTTTAATGAAACCTCACGACTCTGTACACCCAGTGTACCAACACGTTGCATCGGCACCGTTCGGACGTTTTCGCTAAGGAATCTTGTTTGAATTTTGATTGCGATGAAATCCAAATAGAAATGTAAAGTTCTCAAAAGTAAATTCTAAAAAAAACCGATATTAATTTTTTGGGCCATGAAAAACTTTCCCTTTGTGTGTACATCATTATGCTAAGAATCTGTGAGTGTGCATAATTAGCGCTCACTAATAGATTACCTAAATATAATGCTAGCGTGGTATTTATTTATCGTTAAAATTAACGGCAGTGCTATTAACATCTTTGTCGGAATTTGTATCATAATCACTGTTATTTATTAGCTTCATCGTTACCGTAACACCTGCCGTAATCGTTCTTTTTATCGATGTTTGCTTACGGCAGTGTTCTTTTCATTTCGCAACTGTATTCGTGTTTGTAATCCTATTCGCTTTTGCGATCGAGTATTTCAAAAATATATTTTCTTGACCCATACCAAGTTTGAGAACTCAATTTATTTGCATATGTAATATTCAGAGACAGTAAGTTGGCTTGTAGATGGTACACACTCGATTTTCTATGCTATAGTAAGTGTTAGTCGTACACGAATATTCGATGCCGGTCAAAACACCATTAACGAGACGACAGTGAACGTATCTGCAAAAGATGCAACGTACATACATATATATGTACAAATAAGTAATTATAAATATGTGATGCCTTTCTAAATACTACCCCACCACTTTACCTTTTACAGTATGGATCACTAGGCACTGTCGGATAGAGACCAGCAAAGCTTTCTTGCGAACAAACTTCATTCGGCGTTAATGGATTATCTGTAGTTGGGCTCAAGGTTGTTGTAGTCGTAGTACTTGTACTCGAACTTGTTGAAGTTGAAGAAGTCGTCGTAGTCGAAGAATCCACGACATCACAGGTGACAGTGTACGAACTAGCGGTACTCACACAAACCACATCACTGGTTGCATCACAAACAAATCCGGTGGGACAATAGCCCACCTGACCGGTGGCATGTAGGCCGCCATAGCACATCTGGAAGGTAGTGCGACTCAGGCAGGCAAATAAAGCATTGCGTTGTGCTGTGCATTGCCCACAAAGCGATGTGGAGCCGCAACTCGGCGGACGTGTTACACTCGCTTGCAGACAGATGGCGTCATATTCGGTGCATTCGAATCCTTTCTTGCAATGATACAGTGTGTCCATGTTAGGGGTACTTTCTACTGACCGGAGTAAGAATGATTTCAGACTATCTATGTATTAACATGTTGTGGAAGTAGATGACTCACCGCCGAAACAGAGATAGAAGGACGTTGAATTGATGCAGGCAACTTGATTTGTCTGGCAGACATTGCATTCAGCAGATGTTGCATCAAGGAAAACGCAAAAGTAGAAAGTGACCTGAAGTGGTATACACAATTTTTACTCTAAAACCAACAACAAACACGTTGACACCTACTAAAATTAATTCGAAAAAATAAGAAATACTTATACGCCACCTTCCGACGGCAAATGTTTTTAGGTGGGAAGTACTAGTATTTATTTTTACAGCCCATTGTTTGCTAAAAATTTTCTGGTCCAGTCCAGTAATTTAAAAGGAATTTAATCAGAACTGATTGACAAGGTACGTATTTGTAAAAAAATAACAAATATGATGTCTTAAACCTTTGGTTATTTTAGTTCAACTTAAAAAAAAACTCTATTGTCTACAGGTTCATTTTTTAAAATAGATCGAATCGTGCAGATCTGATGGCACGACAGAAAATGAAAAAAAAGATTTTATGCATTAGCAAAAAACGCATTACTTCAAAAAGTGCAAAATATTAGCTGGGTTTTATTTCTTCTTTCGAAAGCTAAAAACTCGTACTATTTTGTAAAATAATAAAACATAACATATTTTTTAACCATTCCATTAAAATTTACCATTTTTTTAAATTTCGATTTGATTAAAAAATAATGTTTTTTTTTTCGATCTTTGCCCACTTAGAAAACTATCTCAGTAAATTTTTCAAGAATTTGGTTTATGATCGCTCCATCTCAGAATCATTTGCTGAGATTGCGCCAAATTCTGAGATAGAGCGATATAGGGTCGAGCACAGCATGAAAATAGTTTAGTTTCTAATATTTAGCGCATATATATTTATAATTTTTTTATTATATTTTTGGCAGGGTGTCAACACTTTTGGTAGATTTCAATAAAAAAAGGAGGTTGAACAGATATTTTCGAAGTAGCCACACTGAACTCAATATTGAGCTTTATGCCACGTTACTAACTTATTTACACATATCTATTTATGGTGTTTTCATTGTCGTACGTACTTGTAGAACAAATAACAGCCATTTCTGGACGTCACATTGCGCCATTTTATTTCACAATCAGCAAAATTTGGCTTATCAAATTTTTATTTCCTTTGAAATATTTGAAACTTTACTAGAAAGAGTAACTATTTTTTTTCTTTATTTAAATACTCATACTCGTATGTACAAACAAATAAGCGAATAAGTGCACCTTTCCGTTAGAGAAACCATTTAACAACTGTTGGCACTAACTAAAAATTTCTACTTTCTATGTTTAACCGTTATGCTAGACATATTTTTGTTTAGCTCTCTTCGTCTGTGGGTGTCTTTTTATACATACAAAATTCCTGCTAATTGGATTGTTTATTCTTTTAATTTCGCTCCTTAAAGTCTGAAGTTAAGCCTTCCAACTTATATTATGTACATACATATGTATGTGTGTATGTATGTATGTTTGTATGAAAGCGTATCCCGCTAATATGCTACGTCATTGTAGTGAAATTCGTAACCAGTGAAATAAAACGTTTAAGTGACCTACCTTTATTGTACTTCGAAAATTTTTAAATTTTTGCTGATCTGTCGATCTAATTCGAACGATAAATACCTTCGAGTTTAGGGTCCTGCAACCTTAGGTGCTTAAAGGATACCCGTTTACCATATAATATTTTTTTAATGAACAGTTCAACAGCGATTAACTGATTTTGAACTGTTGCCCGAATCGCCAAAGCGATTATTTTTGTAAAGTATTTTATTTACAGAGACGAACTAGTTGAGCCGCGGAGAGAACTAGTTTAATGTTATTTACGCGGTGTGATTTCTACCTTTATGTCTTTATCTGGATACATACATATGTACATTAGACTGCATCACTCCATACACAAAAAAAAAACGGTACTGTGTTTCCATTGGAATTATAAAATCTATTATATTTTAAGATGCCCACCAAAATATTTTCGTATCGTAATATACTACCTCATATATATATATATATTATTAATTACGAAATTTTTGATGCGGTTTTTTAAATTTATTTATTTCAAAGATTGGTATAAGAAAAACTTGAATAACGGAAAAGGAAAGGTATTATTTCCACACCCTTTTTTTTCTTTGCTAATCAACTCATTCATTCAAAGATGAAAGAGAAGGTAAGGATGAACGTACGTCATTAAAAGTTGAATTAAGAAGTGTTGGTATTTGAAAAAATAAAAATGGGACACGAATGACTTTTTTTGGACAAAAATGAAAATAGTGGGAAAATACTGAGACCCCAATGGTTTAAAATAGTTTTGGCCCAGTTATTCAAGCTTTTCGTAAAATGAATCTTTGAAAAAAGTAAAAATCAAAAATCTCATTATTAGGATTCCGTTGAAAAGATTTTTAAATATTTTTATGCAGATTTTTCAAGCTTATTCTGTTTTGTCATCTGAGGGCATTTTTTAACACAAAAAAAAAAAACTTTAAGAAACTATTTTTATTCATAAAAACTCCATTTTGGGAGGTATTACCAAATCGGTCCAGCTCACGTAAATCTTGATATTTTTCCGAAACATTTAGGTGGACATCTTAAAATATAATAGATTTTGTAGTCCCATGGCAAAAACCGCAAATTTTTTTGGTGTTGCAATCTAATGTACATGTACACATAGTTGAAATGAATAAAAACTCAAACAGTCAAATCAAATAAAATCTAAAACCCACCAAACAATTTGTGTTGCCGGCAATAAGAAAACGTGTTGCCCTCGGAAACAAATTTATTGCAAATTTATTGCCGGTAATATTGCCACCGAATCGATTTTCTATTACCGGTCACTCTAAAACGTCCGCCGAAGGCAACTCGCCTGGGTGAGTCGTTTTCTTATTACCTGATGAGTCCTTTTCTTATCGCTTCAGGCGATATTTGGAATAATTTTATTCTTTTTAATACTTCATTTATTTTTTTGTATACCAAATTGCAACTTACAATCGGAATTAATTCATTTTCTCGCTGTGAGGCTTCCTATTTTTTCAATCTTGTCCTTGGGCATAATTTAGATGCTTTTGGCCAATACTATTGACGCCATATTCATAAGTTTCGGAATTTTTGAGAACTTTTTTATTCAAAATTGACATGAATGAAGTGATGTTGCCGATTTGTCACCACAGCAATAAATCGGTGAGTCGCCAATTTGTTGCCATTGACGATTGTTGCCTATTCCTCATGTTTTGCATGGTGGGAATTGTTATGTGGGTGCTAACTGTGAATGTATATGTATATATATTCATATTCGTATATATACAGTGTCGAAAATATAAATAAGGTAAAGATATTTTAGCACTCTTTGGCTACTTCGCTTTCGTTTATTTAATGTTTATTATTTTTTATAAAAGTGTATCTAGCAGAAACCATGTAAGTCAAAATTTCACACTTTGTACAAAAATTAGGAAAGTTAGACCAAAATTTTGAAAATTTGATTTTTGAGAAAAGTTCTGAGTATACTGGATTTGTTTGAAACTCGCATCCGCCATTTTAAATTTTAAAATCGAAAACCAGATTCGTAATCATTAACCCCAGTAACCCACTGGTAACGAGTTTCAAGCCCTGACAATGCATTAAACGTTCAGTATCAACGTTTTAATTTTATTGATTTTTTAAGAATTGATATCTACGCCATTTTGAATTAAAAAAAAATTGACTTCAGATTCGTAATCAGCGACCCCAAAAACTCCCGCGAGCCCAGTTTCAAAAAAATCCAGTGATTTTTTTTTTTATTTAGCGCCATTTTGGATCTGCCATTTTGAATTTTGAAAAACTGACTTCAGATTCCTAACCCCATGGTAACTACTTCCAACCCATGGAAATGCGTTAATCGTTGAGTATCAACGTTTTAAATTTAGTGGTCTCTTTTCGAAAGCATATTTTCGAGTACTAGGCCCATTCTAAGTGTCCACGACAGGTATGTAATCAATGGAATGTTCCCCAATAATACCAAAGTAATTACATGTAAAAACAACATTTTAGCGGCATTTTAGCATGTCACGAAAAGAAAAATATTGAGAACAAAAACCGACCTCTAAAAAAACTTTTTTTTTTCAAAATAAAAAAAATACGTTTCTTTGCTTTTATCACAAAGAACAATAATTTGAGGTAGCGTTTATGAATTAAAAAAAAAGTTTCGGGTACTGTTTATTAAGTGGCCCACCTATTTCGGGGTATTGCGTCCAAAGGGGTGACCCGATCCAAAAAAAAATTGCACACACTTGTAGCCAAGGGTCTACCCATTATTTTAACATCCACTTTGTAATTTTGGGTCACTAATTTATTTACAAATTGGGTTTGAAATATGCCCTTTTTTGTAAAATTCGGAAATTAGCGTAAATTTATCACTCCTATTCTCCTTAAAGCAGCTACATCAGCAATATATTTTTATATTCTCCTTCACTTTACACTTTACTCGATGAGCTATAACTTTCTTTATAACTTTAATATTAACCAATTAATCACAATTTATTAAATAAAAACCCCTTCTAAATCATGCGTCTGACTTTTGTTGCATATGCAAATTAAATGGCGTAGTTCAGCTGTCAAACTCCAAAATATGCAAAAGAATGAGAGACAAAAGAAAATAGGATATAACCCTGTAAGCATTAAAAATATACAAAGGTGTTCTCTGTAAAAGGTATTCAGCTCCTTTTCTTCGCAAAACAGAAAGGAGAATTCTACTGCCTGAGGGTTATAATCCCTAAGTGCGGCCGAAGGCCGCCTACGCA